TCGCCCAGCAGCTGGAGGCTCTGGATCCCGAGGAAGCTGCAAGCCTGCTTGAGGCTCAGCAGAACATGAAAGCCGAGATCAGAAACGAGAACAAGAGAAAGGCTGCAGCCAAGTGTGGGGTGCCCAGATGATCCTAGTCGGGTGGCTTTATAATCTGCAAGTCTTTCTCTCAATGACTTTTAAGGCGAAGCGAAAATCGCAAAGGCGAAGGCAAAGGCAAAGGCCAAAGATTCGGCCAAAAAAAGGAAGGGCGAGGCACACATCAGAATTTCAGGGTTCAGGTTTACAGGGATTCAGACATGTACATGTCCCCAAAACAAAACATGAAACCCAAACCCAAAAACCCTAAACCCCACGGCTTCAGGACAATGATGCTGTGCCGAAGGAGAAAGCCGAGGCTTGGATATCCAAAAGCTAGGGCTAACTCTGCAAGCTAGTGACATGTACACCCAGGAGACCAAACCCATGGCCGCCGATCCCGCGAAGAAGCCCAAGCAGTCCAAGGACGACGATCTACTCAGAGTATAACCCTAAACACCAAGCCCCAATAATGATAAACCCTGAACCCTAAACCTTAAGCCCCGAACCCTGAACCCTAAACCCTAAACCTTCAAGCAAGAATTAATGAATTCGGAGGACCACACCATCGAGGATATGCTCGACATGTTGGAGCCTGCTTTTGCAATCGGGTTGCCGCAGCCCAGCGAGCAGTCCAAGCAGAAGAAGTGCCTTGAAAGGGTATATTCAAACCCAGCATAGTGGGTTTTCAGAACGGTTTAGGGTAAGCCCCAAACTCTAAACCCACAACCCTAAACCTTATATAAATTATAAACCCTAACTATATAATATAAGCCCTAAACCGTCGGGGCTTCGAAGCCCTGGAGGTGTTACACGGTGCCCGCCCCTGGCATGAGCTGTGCTTCCATATCCGTTTTGGCCGGGTCTACAAAGAACTTCTTTGTGAACAAGGGCCTTCCGGGGGCCTTCCGAAGTTGCTTCGCGAACTCCTGGGCCTCAAGGTGCTTATGCTAAACAGGGGTTGTTCTTGTGCTTGCATTTTTTTCAAGGTCAGGGGTATAGGATTGTACGGTTTGGGGGTATACTCAGTTTCAATCCGGACATTCCTGTCCCTATCCCGTGCAGATGGACACCAACTTTAATACGGGCATCAGCATTCGCAGATTCGGAGCGGCCTTCGCCTACGAGGTCGCTTTGGTTATCGCCTGCCATCGAACCTTGGAGCCACCGGCTCTGAATGTGGAGGATCTCCGACGCCGCTTCAAGGAGTTGTTTTCGCACTCTCCCCAAGACTTATTTATCATGACTGGCTGATTATTCTACACTGGTGGTGATATCACGACAACTCGGTTGTACATAGCTGCAGCTTGGGAGCCGGCAGCACGAAAACATCTGAGACCAGGCAACCCCTCAACTTCTCTAAGCCCTATAACCCTATTCCCTTATATCAGGCAAACCCTAACCTTCCCTAAGCCCTAAACCCTACTTAGGCCCGAAACTAGAGCCTAACCCGACCCTAAACCCTGAACAACAGCACTATAACCCTATTCCCTTATAAGGCAAACCCTTACCTTCCCTAAGCCCTGAACCTTATAATCGAATCCTAATTATAAAGGCATTGCAGCTCAGTGGCAACGTTTCTCAGCGACCCTGACAGTTAAGCTGGATTCGAAACTGCAACCCTCAATCTCACACAAGCATAGTATACAGGCACAGGGTGGATTAATGTGACCCGAAGCCTGATCCCTCTGCCGATTGTAATGATGACCGGGGATTTAGGGTCTGCTGTTCGGCCTCGAGGTTTTAGCCTTCAGGGGTTGTGTGTGGCTTCGGGGATTTCTTGGAAATAGATTTGGAGCTGGGGGTCTAGGGCTACGTGGCCATACAGGCTTTTGGGCTTGAGACCTGGGATCCCACAATCCCAAATAACAGGCTAGAGGCACGAACACTGAGCCAAACCTCATATCCTCCAGAAGAACTATATCCCCAAGCCCGAGGCTCCAACCCTGAACACGAAGACCTAGATCTTAAAACCCGCACTCCAAGCCTAAACCCAAGCCCAATCCCAAACCTCAAGCTCGAAAGCAGCCAAGGTCGACTGTGATGTCCTTTCATATACAACCCGAGGCCCCAACCCTCAACACGACAACCCAAAAGGCCTAGACCCGAAAACCCGGACCCCGACCCTAAACCCAAGCCCAATCCCAGAGCTGAAGCTCCAAAGCGCCAAAGGTAGACTGTCATCTGTATGATCATACACTAACCCGAGGCTCCAACCCTCAACACGACAACCGAAAAGGCCTAGACCCTACAAGCCCGGACTCCGAGCCTAAACCCAAGCTGAATCCAAAACCTCAAGCTCCAAAGCGGCAAAGGTCGAATGTGCTCCAGACAGCCAATCTATTTTAACATACAGCCCGAGGCTCCAACTCTGAAGAGGAAAACCCAAAAGGCCTAGACCCTAAAACCCCGCAAGGCGACTCTAAACCCAAGGCCAATCCCAAACCTGATCAGCTCCAAAGCTCTTAT